TGATGACAGCTTTAACAAATATGGAGAAAACATATTTTTTATTAAAGTTATGTACTGCAGCTTGAATAAAATGCAACTGCATAGCATTTTTAAGAAGGTTGGATTGCTTTGTACATATTTTGCACGTTGCTTTTGACTTTTGCTCATGGAGAGACATTTCAGTATCTAAAACTAAGAAAAGATTTAAGCAACCTACTTTCATGCTGAATGTGGACTGTTGGATGTTAAATTAATGAGCAGTAAATATTGTGCTAATTATGAGTATTGAACCAAAGAAAGCAAGGCAGATGCCAACCTTTACAATTGTGGCGCTTCACAAATAGACTCAAAAAATTGTAACAGCAGCTGCACAGGGGGGCCCAAACAAATTTTTTGTCAGGCGGCCCAAGATTCCTGGTGCCCCTGCCTACCGGTGTTTGTTATCTGTGTTATATCAAGTTCAAATTTAGTTCAGTCTTCTACCAGGAAATTTTAGAGGACTTTCTGGTGATAAACTTTATGGAGATGCTGATTATTTAATTTCCCAGCAGGACATGGCACCTTCCCCCACTGTCAAAATAAAACCTACTGGTTTTAATTACTGTAGTATAACTGTTCTGGTAACCGTGATATGGCAGTATCACTGTTCTGGAGTGGTTATATAACTGACCTGACCTAAACCTGATAGTGAATTTATGGTAGTCGAGAAAAAACGTCACCAGATCCAACAATTTAAAAGACCAGAATGCCGCTATAAAAAACTTGGTAATCAGATTGATAAATTGTCACAATCAATATGTTCAAAATTAATTGTCCTTGAGATGTTTGTTTTAAGTTACACCAAACTGGACAAAAAGGTCTCAGAAACAACCACATCACTGAGCAGGGAAAAAGATTTTGATAAGATGGAGTGAGAATATATTTTATTTACATCACACAGATTTGGTTTTGGGTCTAACTTAAAGTAATCAGATTAATAAGCACTGACTCCACAGTCTCCCCTAAACCTACTTTTCTTCATTCTACTGGCAATAGCTAATGATGTGGAAGGAAACATAATCATCACCCAACATTTAGTTTGAACCACTAAAGAATATAAAGATGCCTCCATGCTTTTAATATTATTTATGTCAAACTCTGACTCTTCTGATGTGAAGGTCACTTGAGGATACTGGCAACATTCTTCAGATCTGTCAGTGTTTAATTTTGGAGAACCAAAACTGTAAACCGTAGTCAAAACTTCCTGATTGTAGCAAAACCTCCATGTGATTTTTTGCTGCTGTAGCTCATCTGCTTCAACATCTAGTGCATTCTGAGACGATGTTCTGCACAAGTTTGACGTGAGCTACTGTTTCCTTTTTAAAATCTAAAACCAGTCTGTGCACTCTCTTCTGACATCATTGAGGCTTTTTTATCCACAGCTGCTGTTCTCTTATTTGAACTCATTCTCTCTAAACAGAGGAAACTGTGCGTGAAAACCTCAGTAGTTTCTGAAATACTCTTTCCAGCCAGTCTGGCATCAAGAAGCCATGATCCAAGATCTCTGAAAATAACTCTTCCTCATTCTGACAATGACTTTCAACTTTATCAGGTCACCTTAAATGCACCCAGGTCACTGTTTCATACAAAGCTGCTGCCATGTTATTGATTGACTCCACTCTTATTTATAGTCATATTCATTAAATTACAACCTGTGTTCAGATGAGGCCTCTTTGTCAGACTGACAGTACCTTTTGAAAATAACAACCTTTAAGTAGGTATTAAACATACTTATCACCAAGCCAACATTTTTGTGTTATGTTTAGTATTTTTTTAAGGTCTGGTGTAATATTCAAATTTTAAATGTAATTTTTTTTGTCACCTGAAAGTGGAAAATTATCATAATTAACAAAAATTTAGGCTTTTATACATTCATCTGTGTGTAACAAACCATCTTATTTTTCAAAGATTTGCACTGAAGCTCGTGTTTTCTTCAGTAGGAAAATAACAGGAACTGCACAGTGGCATGGTTGGTAGCACTGTTGCCTTGCAGCAAGAAGATTCTGGGTTTGATTCCCAGCCTGGGGTCTTTCTGCATGAAGTTTGCATGTTCTCCCTATGCATGTGTGGGTTCTCTCTGGGTACTCTGGCTTCCTCCCACAGTCCAAAAACATGACTGTAAGGTAACTTGTTCTTTCTAAATTCTCCTTAGGTGTGAGTGTGTGTCTCTGTGTTGCCTTACAACAGACCGGCGACCTGTCCAGGGTGACCCCGCCTCTCACCCGAAATGTGGAGATAAGCACCAGCAACTGTCCTGACCCCAGTAGGGAGAAGGGTCAAGTACTTTCCAGCTTTAATTTTGTTTGTTGTAAAAACATTTGTATCCCATTCTTTTGCCCTCACTGTTAGGACAGGGGTTGTAAATCATTTGAAATCTCTATCGGTGTGTGTCATTTCAGTTTTAATGTGCGTTTTAGTTTTTGTGTTTTAGTTTTCACAGACTCTTGAATCAAATCAAAATCAAATTAAATTTTATTTGTATAGCACATTTCAGCAGCAAGGCATTTAAAAGTGCTTTACATCATTAAACACAAAAACACAGTCATGCAACATTGAATAAACATTATTGTTGTTTATGTTCCATTAGCAACTCTAAACAAGTGGGTTTTAAGAAAAAGATATTCAAGACTCTGACAGACTCTTCTTGAAACACTAGTGTAAAAACAGAAAAGAAAAGAAAGAACAATAGATATTTAATCTCAGTTTTGTTAACAACAAATTTTGACAATTTCTTATGGAAGAAAAAATTGTCTGGTCATTAACATCCTCAAAAACTCGTCAAAACTTGTAGCTATCATAACTCATTTAAGAGAATATGAACTGGATTCTAACTTGTGAGCATTCATGACTTTATCAGTGTTTATCAGCTGAATGAAATGTTCTAGTTGCAAAGTGAAAGAGAACTGCTTTCTGACTCCCTCTCTGCGGTCATGGGAGTGCCTCTTACTGTTTGTTCATTTCAATGGTGGCTCAGCGGCAGAAATCTTTTCTGCGACGGCAAAGTGAAGAAGAGCCGTATCAGTCATTGGTGATTCACTATGAAGGAAGGTAAGGTCACCATGCTGAGCTGATAATAATTATTTGTTTAAATGTCTTTTATTAATGTTGTTCCATAACAAATCGTCCCACAGACATGAAGTATTATGGGTTGAGAAACCAAGGAGCAACATGTTACCTGAACAGCATTCTGCAGGCTCTGTTCATGACCAGAGAGTTCAGAGAGGCTGTAAAAAGGTTAGTGAGTAAATCAAAAAGCATTTTTTGTGTTGGAAGAAATATTTGGAGGGTTTTTTTGTTTTTCTATATATATTCTGCATCTCTGACAATATCCTATAAACAGTTGCTCAAAACACCATAAAGACGACATCAATGTTCGGCTCAATACTTTGTTTGAAAGTTTAAAGGAAAAAACATCAGAAACCACAGAAGTTACAAAGACACTGAGAATTGAAAAAGGTACGTAATCAGATGCATTTATCTACTGTTAGCTTGTTTCTGAATAAAGGACGATGTTGTGAATGCTTTATCTTCAACATAAATCTTGACAAAATATAGAAGAAACATGGGTGAACATGAAATATGAAAAAATACATCATTTTATGTATCATTCTTTCTTCATTCTTCCAGTGTATGAACAGCAGGATGCTGGTCAGTACCTGGAGAAGATTTTATCTGATGTCAGTGATGAAGCGTCAAAGGTAAATTATTCATGAAATCACTTTGGGATCGGTAAGGAGAGGGCGCTACAGAGTGTGAATGAAAAATAAAAGCTGTTAGATTTTAAATCAAATTGTATTTTCAGGTATTCAAAGGAGAGCTGATTCACAGGACTGTTTGTGATCAATGTGGCTCACATACTGATGACGAAGTGCCATTTTTCTTTCTTTCTCTCCCTCTGATGGATTCTAAAAATGGAAACTACAGTGTGGTAAGAAACAACCTGCAGAATGGAAACCATTTTATGTGCCAGACAAAACTCATAAAAGTAATCTGGAATAATCAATGATTTACTTATTACTTAGTAGAAAGAAACCATGTTGGTAGAACAGTGGAAAGTACCTGGTGAAGGTTTGTGCAGTAACACAAAGTGTGTTTCCAGGAGGACGGGATTCAGGAGTTTTTAAAGGATGTAGAGTTTTGTGGAGAAGACCAGATGTACTGTGATAAGTGTAAATACAAACGTGACACTACTGTTGTAAGTAAAGGGAAAACTGTTTTAAGTGTGTGATTAAACAACAACAAAAACAAAACAGATATTTTGACAGTATGCACTGATTAGCTGTTAGCTAAAGACGCAAATAACGAAAGAGAAGCTAAAATAAAAGTTCTGAAGTTTACATATGTTTTACTAGAGTTTGGTAGCATTTAAAACGTCATGAACTGAGTCAAATGTTTTGGATGAACAAGTTTCTCATAATAATTTATCACATTTTTGACCCATTTCTCCTGAAAGAACTGTTCTTTTTAATCAGTTGTTTTGCAGGCTCCCTTGCTCAAGGGTTTGTGATGACCTCTCAAATACTGACTTTGTTATCCCAAATTAATAGGACAGGATAATTAAAGTCATTGTCCATTTTGTATGACCTCTCTGTGCTAAAGCTACCAGGGCAATTTCTTAGGATGTTGCTTAAATATTTCCATTATATGTTCTCTCCTCGTGATGTCATCAGTCTTTTAAAGTGCAACAATATGATGCAAACCCAAAAATTAAAAATAAGTAAATAAATATTGGTGATCCCTGCCGACCTGGAACAGAAAAGTCTTAGTTTGAGTTAATATCAGGCAGTAAAAAAGGTTGTGTGTCTTTATATACAGTTAATATAAATATCTGCTTTTAACCATATTGACAATGTTGTGTTTCATATAGAAATATGAACTAAAGCGTCATCCAGAGGTTTTGATTTTGCTGCTGAAGAGGTTTGAATACAACTATCAACGCATGTCGTACAGTAAAGACAGCCGTGCTGTGGATGTTTGTTACACCATCAACTTACCTGAGGTATATTTCAGTATATTGTGATTATTGTCCATTTTCTTTCCAGTTTCCAGATTAATGTGTGTTTTGTTGATCAGAACCAGACATATGAACTGTACGCCTTGGTGGAGCACGTTGGGTCTCTGACAGGTGGGCATTACACAGCAACAATCAAACCTGAGGATGAAGACAGATGGTACGAGTTCAACGACTCCAGTGTGACACTGGTGAGATGATTATCCTACAACCATGGATGGTTTTGACATTGACGATCAATATTTCACCTTTTTTAGCGCAGTGCAAGTTTGATATTGTTCCTTTTATTAACAGGTTGGTAACCAGACGTTTCAGAAAAAGTTTGAGAGGTATGTAATTGTCCTTCGTTTTGTTCTTCTGCTTATATTTACTGTTTATCATAACCAAAATGTATGTTCTTTATGCACCAGATCCCGAAGCGCCCATCTTCTGTTTTACAGGAAAAGAAGTGAGATGAAAACACATTTTACAATGATTTCTATTAGGTTCAATTTGTCATAATTTTTTAATATAAATTTCAGATGCTGAAGTGGAAGATGAAGGAACAGACGGAGAAGAAGACCAGAAAAAACTGAAAAACGATGACGAGAGTGAAAATGAGAGTAAAAACGACAATACGGGGAAAATGACTTCAGACTGTGATAAAAATCACAATCATTTGTATTTTCCTTTGTCAGCTTTTGTACTTTTTGTATTTGCAATTCTCTGGATTGTCATTGTTGTCATGAAGGTCCTTCCGAATGAATTTATTCTCTTTGGTTTAATCTTTCTTTTAGGGTTAGCCTTCTTACTTTGGTGGAAATGTATGAAAAAAGACAAACGATTGGTTTTGTCGCAATGTAGCCGCCATGTTTAACCACTTGTTAGTCAGAAATGACTAAATCATGATTCACCATAGAATGGATCTGCTTCACCTCTGAAACATTATGTTTTCATTTTATTCCCTTTGCTCTAAGTTACATTACATTAATATGAGAGTAAAAATGATTGGATTCAGCCAGACAGTTTGACTTCATGTGGACGCTGTACAATTAAATTTGTAGAAGAAGAAACTGAAAATAAAAGCAAAGCTTGCTTTAGGAGTGTTGTGACAGCCTGTCGTCTCAGATTATTTCCTGGTTGAAGTCAGATACTTTTAGCCGACAAGTTGGAAGAACAAAGTAGGTCTGAAATGAACAGCTCAGATCAGGACGAGAAAAGATACGACCCCCATGATGCCACGCTGAGCGTTTTTGACAGACCTGATGACCTGGATCCTCTATGAAAGGACTAAAAACTATGCTGCTGTTTTACCCATATTTGTTATATTTATGTATTTGCTTCTGAATTAAGTTTTACTTGTACATTTTTCAGTATAATCTACACTATTAGAGTGTCCAACTTACTGTCTGCCCTATTAGTCAGTGATGATGATGACGAAGACCAGGGTCTTAGAGCTGAGATGTCCTGCGGTCACGCTGTCACTCCACAATCTCTGACTGGCTGGTGTCGCAGCCTGCTGGATCAGGTACGTAATGACATCACACATGTTTTATATGCAACATTTTCTTTCTTTGGTCATTTCTTGTCACTGTTGTACCTTCTAATGTGCTTTTATTTTGAAATTTAAATAGTTCCAATGCACAACTAAAGACATTCTAGATAAGAGGAGAAAATTTTCAAAGTCAAATTTAGTCCAAACAGTGGAATTCATTAACAACACTATTATTCTTATTCTTATTATTTCATCCATCGTCTTCTGCTTCATCTGGGGTCGGGTCGCGGGGGCAGCAGCTTCAGAAGGGAGGCTGTATAATTACAAGGAAATAAAACGATAATTATAGAGTGAACTTCATTTCATTTGGTGTCGGCTTGTTTTCTATCTGTGTCCATCTGGGATGCAGTGGGAACCGTGATGCATTTAGGTGAACAGTTCGGTGCTCATGTATTGGTGTATTTTTTAGTTTAAAGACAGGGAGACATAGTTGCCAGCCTTTCTTGAAGGCATCATGTTTTTCATTTTGTAATACATTTTCATTTCTTTGTCGTTCCTCCTTTAAAAAACTCAAAGTGTCAATGGCTGCAAACAGGTTCAGATGTTGACCAAGACATTGCAGTCCTCAGTAGACTGGAGACTTTTTGACCTGCTTCCCTAAAACCAGACATTAGTTCAGTATTTTTTAAAAAGTACATATGATGTGTTTAAAATGAGACAATGACATAAACCCCCATTCGGGTTTAATCCATTTGTTCAAACACCAAACCAGTTGTTCTGCGTCTTTATGGTTACGTGTTGCTTTTATCTGACCATCTTAGGGTCAGTACAAGTTCAAGTGTCCTGCTTTTGACGAAGACACCCAGGAGATATGTGGCGCTGTGTGGCCGTATCGAGAGGTGCGTCGCCTGGCGGACCTGAGCGTTGAAGAGATGGAATACTTTGAGGAGACCATCGCTCGCCTGGCTGCTGCAGAGTACCAGGAGTTTAGAGAAGTAAGTGTCTCTAACTTCAGGTCAGTCTTCACTTTAACTGTTCTGCTTAAAACATCATGTCTTCCTCTTACAGTGCCCTGGGTGTAAGAGCTACGTTGAAAGAAGGAACCTGACTAACCTCTGCGTTCAGTGCTTAGTTTGCGTTGCAGACCAGAAGAAACAGGTCCAGTTCTGCTGGCAGTGCTTGAAGCCGTGGAAAGGTCCGGCTCCACGCTTTGATCGCTGTGACAATGATGGCTGCAAAAACTGCAACATTTTTGTCCATGTTCATCAACTGTGAAACTTATTTATTCTGTTAAGCATCAAATGATATCTGCAACACTTTTATTATCATGTTATATTTTACGTTGACAATAATTTCTTCTTTGGCATCCAATTAACTGATAACACATAAATTTTGACTAAAAGTCTCAAAGTAGGGCGTCCATCTTAAATGGAGATTCATGTTTTTAGCTACTTAATGTGGAATTTGCTTCTCTAAAATCATTGTGTTAAAAAGTTTTGGAAAATTTTAATCTGTTATTTTTGAAACTGAAAGTTAACAGGCTTTTTTTATTGTTAAAGTCAATTGCAAATACACAGAAATGTAAAACACAGAAATGTGGCAGATAAAACACCATCCTTCTTAGCTGGATACTTTATTTATGCCAGTTAAGGAGGAAGTCCAAAAAGCTTTCTTTATAAATTCACTAAGCAAAAAAAAAATATTTCCCACCAGGAAGAAATTAACTTAGTAAAATACACACATTTTATTTGTCCCCTCTGCTCTCTAAGACACAATTCAATCAGTTCATCTCTGTCATATCTAGTGGGATGCTCTTTGAATTATTCTCTTTTCTTAAAGACGTTTGTGCAAAGTCTGTCTTAGTTCATGTTTCTTTTGTTGTTATTTTCATATTCTAAATTTGTGTTTTATTTTTAAAGTTTGTTCTGGATTACCTGAACTCAGCATCTCGTCTTATATTTAATACAATATTCAGCTATTTAGCCTGTATTTGAGTGTTTTACACACAACACCATAAAATGTTTGCCCTAAATGGGCGATGATGAAATGCAAATACTGTTAGCTCGCTAGGTGGCACTATGTTGAATTACTATCAACGCTGTAATTCCGAGAAGAGACGGCATGTTTTTGGTCTCAACATAATTCACATGTGAAATTAGTGTTCAGAAATGTTTTAAAGGTTCTGCATGTAATAAAGCTGTTTATTGTTTTAGAGTTACTCTGTTTATTTGTGCTGACAGATGAGAAATATTTATTAATCTGCATTCATCAATCAAACTGGTTTAATAAACAGAAAAGTACTGAATTATTTACTTGGATTAAACCATTAATTATCATGTCTGATGGCTTAAAGGCTCCTTCCAAAAGGTCGATCTTGTATCTTAATGCACATTGGAAATGTTGCAGAGTGAAAATGAAAGTTTCATCACAAATCCTTCTATCTGGTTTATAATAAACCAGATCGGCACTCTGACAGGTTAGGCCTAGTGAATCTGGAAAGTACCTGGAAGTTCTTTCAGGTATTTTACTGCCAACTGATCTTGACAAAGACCTTAACAATGTATCTATTTGAACTGGGGAACATTTATGGAAAACCCTACATATGAGGAAAGATGAAATTAGTTTTATTTTAATTATTCCTGGTCTCATTTCCTGAAATGTTGACAGGATTATCTGGAGGAATCTGCTGCCTGCCTCCCAAAACCCCAGGCCTGAATTAAATAACGTTTTAAAGAATTTACTTAATATTTGTTCCTACGATTTTGGCAGCATATTCCAGTATATCAATACACACTGACTGATGATACGTTTGTACTTTTATGTGATAAATATTTATATTCTTGGGTAAATTTAGGTCCAGATTTATTCAATTACATATGTGACCCTTGACATGACTTTTGTAACGTTGTCTATTTATTTAGGGTTTTATTTGACATTATGAGATGTATTTTATCTTGTAATAAGTAAATACTGTTAGCCCACTGGGTGGCACTAAGTTAAACGCTGTAATTCCGAGAATTTATTATTATTATTATTATTATTATTATTATTATTATTATTATTATTATTATAAACTGATCAAAGGCAGGCACAGTTCATATCCATAACATCCAACATTTTGTAATCACTGATTACGTTGACTTTAGAAAATATAAGCTTATCCACCCAACCAAAGACTTATATAATTTTAATCATACTCTGCTCAGATCCATCCATTTTTTTCTTTCATTTTTAAACCACGCCTTTACCACGCAAACCACGCAAATAGGTTCCTCTCTAATAAGTATAAAGCCCTCGCTGCTCCTCAGTCACTTCACATTACAGCTTTAATCCCGGAGCAGAGTTTAAAGGCATCAAAAGAAGAAGCCATGGCTTGCCAGGTCATCGTCTGTTTTGAACAGAACTTTAAAAAGCCGATCGACGTGTGTAAACAAGAAGAGGAGCTTAAGTACATTCCTGTAAAGTTTCTGATGGACATAATACAGCAGCTACGCCGTGACATAGGTAAATACACCTGCTGAGAAATTTCAAATGCACTGAGACATAGAGCAGATGAAAAGATGAAATGTAGTTTAAAAAGCCGATTTTCAGTTTTAAAATCCATAATTGTCATGTATGTGAGACTTTAGATGCGCGGCTATTTGTTCTAAACCGTTTTAAACAATTTAAGATATTGTGTGCAATTTGTCTGATGGGATCATGAGGACTGTATAAGTAACTTGAGATATGAATACATCATATATAAAGGATTTTATTTATTTTAGGTTTCATGGGGCATTTTCTTCATAAACAAAATCCACTCATTTGTTTTGGACATCGTCTTACTGTGTCTTTCAGTTTTGTTTTGCGCAAAGGTCGGTCTTTAAGGTGATTTATTTCATTTTAAATTTTCAGCTGTTACAGCAATGATGATGGCTCTGATCTACAAAGGCAAAACCCTGCAAGAAACCCAAACGTTGGCTGAGTGCGGGATCAAGCACAAGTCTGAGATCCACGCGGTGATGCGATGTGACGGAGGAGTGGAGCTGATCGTCCACGACCCTGCTCCACTCTGATCCACTCAACTCAAAACTGAACATTTGCTTTTACTACATAAATGTCCTCCTGTTTGTTGGAAAGATAGTGCATCATTGTAATGTATTAGTGAAATATGATCACGAAGCTTATAATAATTGTGAAAGTTGTAAAAATGATCTCTATGTAAAGTGAAAACAAAAACGAAATCGCCCAGTCATTCTCGTGTATTGTTGTTGGTTTTCACCCCAAAGACATTAGTCAAAAAAAAAAGACCTCAAAAATCTCATGCATGAAAATTTGATCTCAGCATTCCCATGTTTTTATTTATTTATAGCTATTTGTCAATATTGATTATTGTTCTTGGTTATGTATGGTTTTCACTGTCCCACTGAATAATTGTTCTTGTTTTAAAAATAAAACCTGTTTGAAATAAATTATTTAATGATATTTGATCGAATAGTTATCTCTCATTCCCTTAAGTTAATAATTGCTGAGTTTTTGTTATTTTTTCCCCTCACACGTTTAAGTAAACCTTTAATCTATTCAGTTTCTTTGAAAACATAAATTCTGTGACACATGCAAAATAACTGTAAATTAATATGAATAATTGCTGATTGCACTTTTAATTTGTATGCATGTTTAATGCTAAAAATAAAGTACCAAATATTTAGATCTGTGTGTGAATTTAGTTTCATTGTTTGCCTGTCATTCTGCTGCTGTTGCACAGAAATATCCCTATTATAGGACAGTAAAGAATATTTTTTGTTCTGTACTAATTGTAGTCAGATTATTCATTCTTCTTAATAAACTGTAAATTATTCACACCTGTTAGTTTTTATGAAATTAAGGCGTCAACAATAAAAACTATAATATTATTCTTTATATGGTCGAGATTTTTCACTGTCTTCATTCAATTCCATCCATCCATCCATCCCCTGCTCCATACGAGTTTAACGGGGGACATCGGCTTATTTTGGGGAGAGGGGGGAACAACGAATCTAGCAGCAATAATAATATGACTTAAGTAAAAGAAAACGTTACAGTACGGTAAAACTACTCTTATAAGAGCGCCATGAGCGCAACATGAGCGTCATACCGCTCATGTTGCGTTTAAAGGCGGCACGGAAAAGCAGGTTTCGACCTGTTGACAACGAATTAAACAGTTTTGACAGCTGAAAAAAGTGACAGAAGGCACAGATATGGTGAGTGCGGAAGCCCCTACTGTATCAAATTGACATAGGAATAACAGAGAGTTGGCCACTTTATTTTTCAATGTATTTGTGATGTTTAAAGGCAAAAACAACAAACAGCTTCCATTCCAGAAGGGGCACAGCTGACTCTGTGGGTGGGTAATGCCCCCCAATGCCCCCCCACGCCGCCGGCCTGCGCCCCCCATGCATCTGCTCTTCTTTCCATGTGGGCGTATCTTCAGCGATCAGCTGTAAAGTGAAAGTCACAGAACTCGTAAAGAATAACCGGGCCGAAATCGAAAGAGTTCCCTTCTATTAGACCTAAAATAATATAAAGTTGATTGTTTTCTGCATCGCAGCAGAAATCAAGAGAACTTTCAAGATGAACGACAGAACTAAGCGCTACAACCTGAGCGACTCTACAATCCGATTCACGGCTGAAGAGGATCAGTTTGACTGTGAGTGGCTCGTTTCAGTTCATCAGCTCTGTAGCTACAAGTTTTCAATGTATTTGTGATGTTGTTTAAAGTATGTGTAGTGTGTATTTAAAAATACCGGAGGATCTCATGGGATGTTTCTGCAGTTCTGTGTGAAGGTTTTGATTCCCCGAGAGCCCGGATGTCCTGCGGACATGTGGTGACCCCGATGTCTCTCACAAAGTGGTGCGAACAACTGCTCAAACAGGTGGGATATGACGGTGACCTCACATTCAAAACCGAAAATACAAAAAAAAAAGAATTGTAAGCTAGTTTCGTGGAACTATTTTTATTCTGATTAAGATGAAAAGTGATGATGTGATCGGGTCCGTGTTGTTTATTTTCAACATGTATTTACCGCTACAGAATGATGCTGACAGCTATTTTTTTTCGGATCTGGTTTTCTTGTCTTTAAATACATGAAAAATAAAATTTTCCATAAATATTAAAATCTTATTGAAGAAAATGTATTTATCCTCTCTTTCAAAGCATTTAGTTTCCTTTATTTGAGTTGATACCCGACTTCCAATGTACAGAAACAGATAATAATCAAAGACAAAACCTTAATAAATCTTTTAATTCTACCACAATACACTCATGTGTTTAAGAACGTGTCTGTAATTTCAATTAAATGAATAATTTTTGCTTTCAAATGTGAAATGTAAAATATTTTATTCTATGTCTTTTATTCTTTTTAATTGAACTAAACTAAACTAAATGGATATTTGTTGTTTCTGCTGCTTTTAGTTTATTAACCTTCGACAGATTCACTGTAAATTTTTTAACTCTAACTTTCCAAAAACAAGTTCTCAACTGTGAATTCTAGAGTTAAAGAGCATCTTAATACATCACTGTATTTTCTGTGTTGACATAGCATTTTTAACAGAATATTGGTTAAAAGGAAGTAAGGAACCTTCCTATCAGATTGTTAAACATATAAGTGTCTTTTTTATTTTTAATCCTGATTATTTCTGTGATTATTTAAACAAAGGGAGAAGCCAGGTTTGTGTGCGGTCAGTCTGGCTGTAATGCTGAATGGTCTTATCAAGAGGTTTGTAAAATGGCCCTGCTGACCCCTGAAGAAATGAAGAACTTTGAGACGACGATGGCCCTGAATGCTGCTGCCAGAGATCCTAACACAAAGTTTGTAAGTATCTTATTAATGACGTAATGATAACTGCACACAGGCATGAGTCTGACTCAAATCCCTCTGTTCCCCGTCTCTCATCACACTCCTGACAGTGTCCAGGCTGCATGACTCCTGTGACCAGAGGGAGCAGCTCAAACCTCTATGTCTGCTGCCAAGTGTGTTCAGCAAAGACCGGACGCAGCTTTGGGTTCTGCTGGCAGTGTCTGAGGGAGTGGAAAGGTCAACAGCCTCGATCCGACCGCTGTGAAAACGACGACTGCCACAATTCTGCCCTGAAGACGCTGAGAGAGTGTCCAGAAGTCCAAATTGAGCTAGCGGGAGGAGTCATAGGGTGTCCATCGGTCCGTGCCTGTCCCACCTGCGGCTCACTGATCCAGCACACTGGGATAGGATGCACAGAAGTTTCATGTCCCCGATGTAAGATGTCGTTTTGTTTTGGCTGCCTAAAGAATGCTAATGAATGTATAATAGATGACTTTGATATTTGCCTCAGTGGTATTGCCGCCAGACAGACGTCTATTCCTGTGTGGGATGGACGTATATTCCACACAGGAATCTACTCTATTCCATACCCATAATGTGATGTATTCATGATGATACATCACATTATGTGATGTATCACATCATGGTAGTTCATGATGTGATACATGAGTTATCACTGTTTTTTTTATTATTTACCTGCTAGTTCTTGCTAGTCAAATCTTTAAAATCCAACTTTTGCAACAAATTGAACAATCTTTGTACTCTGCTTCAAAGTAGCTTCCAAATAAATGTTGTTATGTTGTGAAATTTATTATGAAACTACACAGCTGAAACACCCATTACAGCAGTGGTCCCCAAAGAGTGGGGCGCGCCCCCTTGGGGATCATTGTGCCATTGCAGGGGGGCGCTGGGAGCAGTCTGGATGAATGAAAAAAAGAAAACAGTTACACAAGAGTGTTTAACTGTAAACATGGTTTGTAGTTTGTTTTGTTGCAACCTGAAGTGTGAAATAAACTTCAGTGTAGATTTATGTCTGGTTGAACAATATGTGTGCCAAGTTGATTTTTTTTTCTTTTTTGGGGGGGATTTTATTGTGAACCATAGGGAGGCCCAGAAGAAAATCTTTGGGAACCACTGGATTAAAGGATGTCCACACAAATATGTAGCTTTTTATGCTGTTAATGCCTCTATTATTGTATTTGCATCAAGTAATCCTGTCACATTGAATGATTCTTTTTATTTTTCATTAACCACTCTTTGTCATTTGATTGCATTTTTGTGATAGTGCAAACCGAAAATCAGGAATTGCTGAACAAATAAAAATGTTGCTATTATTTTTGTTAAATAAAGAGTGAAACTTAATCCGAATCATTCAGTTTGAATAATTAGACGATGTTTAAAGAACCAGAACACAAAATGTATCCAGAAAATGGGCCACAACACTGTTGTGTTCCTTGTGACTTCTGAACAAAAAGAAAGTAGACGACTGGAATATTATTCAGTGGCATAAGTCTTGTTCTCACATGAAGCAAATTTAGCATTTCATTTGGAAATCAAGGTACATGAGTGAGGAAGTCGTCAAGTTTCTTGACGTGAATTGTGACGTTTCCACAGTCAGTGATCGTGACCTGCTGGTGTTTGTCATCTGTGTTATATCAAGTTCAAATTTAGTTCAGTCTTCTACCAGGAAAACTCAGAGGACTCTCTGCTGATAAACTTTATGGAGATGCTGATTATTTAATTTCCCAGCAGGACCTGGCACCTTCCCCCACTGTCAAAATAAAACCTACTGGTTTTAATTACTGTAGTATAACTGTTCTGGAGAGGTTATGTAACTGACCTGACCTAAACCTGATAGTGAATTTATTGTAGTCGAGAAAAAAACGTCACCAGATCCAACAATTTAAAAGACCAGAATGCCGCTATAAAAAACTTGGTAATCAGTTTGATAAATTGTGACAATCAATGAGTTCAAAAATTACACCAAACCAGTCAAACAAGCCCCAGAAACAACCACATCACTGAGCAGGGAAAAAGATTTTAACAAGGTGGAGTGAGAATATATTTTATTTACATTACGCAGATTAATTAAAGTAATCAGATTAATAAGCACTGACTCAATAGTCTCTCCTAAACCTACTTTCTTTCACTCTACTGGCAATAGCTATTGCCAGTAGCTAATTCTACTGGCAATAGAATTAGCTACATCGCCCAACATTTAGTTTGAACCACTGAAAAAGACAAAGATGCCTCCATGTTTTTAATATTATTTATGTCAAACTCTGACTCTTCTGATGTGAAGGTCATTTGAGGAAACAGGTAACATTCTTCAGATCTGTCAGTGTTTAATTTTGGAGAACCAAAACTGTAAACTGTGGTCAAACCTTCCTGATTGTAACAAAACCTCCATGTGATTTTTTGCTGCTGTAGCTCATCTGCTTCAACATCTAGTCCATTCTGAGACGATGTTCTGCACAAATTTGACATGAGCTGCTGTTCTTTTTTTAAATCTAAAACCAATCTGTGCACTTTCTTCTAACCTCGTTGAGGTATTTTTATCCACAGCTGCTGTTCTCTTATTTGAACTCATTCTCTCTAAACACAGAGGAAACTGTGCATGAAAACCTCAATAGTTTTTGAAATACTCGTTCCAGTCAGTCTGGAATCAAGAAGCCGTGTCTAAGGTCGCTTAAAATAACTCTTCCTTATTCTGATGCCGACTTTCAACTTTATCAGTTCACCTTAAATGCACCCAGGTCACTGTTTCATACAGAGCTGCTGCCATGTTATTGAATGACTCTTCAGTAGGTAAATAGCAGAAACTAAACGTCATGAGTCAAGTATTTTAGGTACTTTCCAGCTCTTCACTCAGTTTTTGTTTCATTTTCGTTGTTTGTCGAAAGCCTGAACCCAACATTGTTTTCTTTAGTGACACCTAAATTTCCCTAAACTCGTATTTTGACCTTTCTCCCTGTCATGGGACACCAAGCATAAGTAAAACATTTGTATCTCGTTCTTTTTCTTTCTGTTGTCCTCACTGTTAGAGAGGACAGGGTTGTAAATCTCTTAGCATTTGAAATCTCTATCAGTGTGTGTCATTGCAGTTTAGTGCATTTTAGATTTGTGAAAGAGATATTATTGAATATGATATTCTTGACAGACTCTTCTTGAAACACTAATGTAAAAAAAGAAGAGAAAAGAAAGAACAATAGATGTTTATCTCTGTTTTGTTAACAACATGCATCCATCCTTCCATTTTCTTTACACCCTTGTCCCTCAGTGGGTCAGGAGGGTTGCTGCTGCTTATCTCCAGCTAACGTTCCAGGCGAGAGGCGGGGTTCACCCTGGACAGGTCGCCAGTCTGTCGCAGTTTCTTAACAACATCCATCCATCCATTTTCTGAACACCCTTGTCCCTCAGTGGGGTCGGGAGGGGCGCTGGTGCCTATCTCCAGCTAACGTTCCGGGCGAGAGGCGGGGTACATCCTGGACAGGTCGCCAGTCTGTCGCAGGGCAACACAGACACACAACCATGCACACACACACACACACACACCTAGGGGCAATTTAGACAGACCAATTAACCTAACAGTCATGTTTTTGGGACTGTGGGAGGAAACCAGAGTACCCGGGGAAAACCCACGTATGCACAGGGAGAACATGCAAACTCCATGCAGAAAGACCGGGGCCGGGAATCGAACCCAGAACCTTCTTGCTGCACGGCAACAGCTCTACCAACTGAGCCACTGTGCAGCCTTCTTAACAACAGATTTTGACAATTTCTTTATGGAAGAAAAAATTGTCTGGTCACTAGTCCCCCTGAAATCCCAACATCTCCAAAACTTGCAGCTATCATAACTGATTTAAGAGAATTGATATTAGATTAGTTTTAAATTGTGAACATTCATAACTTTATGCAGTGTTATCAGCTGAATGAAAAGTTCTAGTAGTTGCAAAGTGAAAGAGAAAGCTGCTGTTTTCTGACTCCCTCTCTCTGTGGTCATGGGAGTGCCTCTTACTGTCTGTTTATTTCAGCGGTGGCTCAGTGAAGAAGAGCCGTATCAGTGGAATCGTTAGTGATTCAGGATGAAGGAAGGTAAGGCCTCCATGCTCAGCTGCCAATATTTATTTGTTTGAATGTCTTTTATTAATGTTGTTCCATAACAAATCGTCCCACAGACATGAAGTATTATGGGTTGAGAAACCAAGGAGCAACATGTTACCTGAACAGCATTCTGCAGGCTCTGTTCATGACCAGAGAGTTCAGAGAGGCTGTTAAAAGGTTAGTGAGTAAATCATGAAGCACGTTTTGTGTTGGAAGAAATATTCAGTGTTTTTTTTTGTTTGTTTTCAATATGTATAGTTTGTATCTCTGACAATGTCCTATAAACAGTTGTTCAAAACACCATAAAGACGACATCAATGTTGGACTCCATACTTTGTTTGAGAGTTTAGAGAAAAAAACATCAGAAACCACAGAAGTTACAAAGACACTGAGAATTGAAAAAGGTACGTAATCAGATGCATTTATCAACTGTTAGCTTGTTTCTGAATAAAAGGCGACACTTTCATAATGGGGATGTGTGACTGCATTAGCTTCAACTTAAATCTTGACAAGCGTTAGAAGAAACATGGATGAACATGAAATGTGAGCTAAAGCATTAAATGTAAACATAAAAATACATCATTTTATGTATCATTCTTTTTTCATTCTTCCAGTGTATGAACAGCAGGATGCTGGTCAGTACCTGGAGAAGATTTTATCTGATGTCAGTGATGAAGCGTCAAAGGTAAATTATTCATGAAATCACTTTGGGATCGTAAGGAGAGAAAATAAAAGTAAAAGCTGTTAGATTTTAAATCAAGTTGTATTTTCAGATATTCAGAGGAGATCTGGTTCACAGGACTGTTTGTGATCAATGTGGCTCACATACTGATGACGAAGTGCCATTTTTCTTTCTTTCTCTCCCTCTGATGGATTCCAGTAATGGAAGCTTCAGTGTGGTAAGAAACAACCTGCAAAATGGAAACCATTTTATGTGTCAGGCAAAACTCTGCTTATTAAAGTCATCTGGAATATAGTCAATGATTTTTAATTTTTACTTAGCAGGAACTAAGTAAAAATTAGTGTTGGTAGAATGCTGGAAAGTACCTGGTGAAGGTTTGTGCAGTAACACAAAGTGTGTTTCCAGGAGGACGGGATTCAGGAGTTTTTAAAGGATGTAGAGTTTTATGGAGAAGACCAGATGTACTGTGATAAGTGTAAATACAAACGTGACACTACTGTTGTAAGTAAAATGAAACCTATTTTGTTTAAGTGTGTGATTAAACAACAACAAAAAACAGCCAAACCTTTGAAATTATTTTGAAATGTATAAAAAAATGCACTGATTAGCTATTAGCTAAACACCCAAATAATGAAAGAGAAGCTAAAATATTTGTCAAGTTCTGAAGTTTAAATATATTTTACTAGAGTTTGCTAGCATAGCCTGTAAGATGTCATGACCTGTGTCAAATGTTTTGGATCCACAAGATTCTCATAATTTATTGACTTTTTGACCCTTTCCTCTTGAAAGAACTGTTCTTTTGAATCAGTTTTTTTACAGGCTGCCTTGCTCAAGGATTTGTGATGACCCCTCAAAAACACTGACTTTGTTATTCCTAATTAATTGGACAGGATAATTAGCCATCAGTTCTGTAAAGTGCAACAATAAGTACTGTAAATAAATATTGGTGATCCCTGCAGACCTGGAACAGGAAAGGCTTATTTTGAGTTAATGTTAGCCAGTAAAAAGGTTGTGTGTCTTTATATATGGTTAATGTAAATATAAGTTTTTAACTGTGTTAATAACTCTGTGTTTCATGCAGAAATATGAACTAAAGCGTCATCCGAAGATTTTGATTTTGCTGCTGAAGAGGTTTGAATACAACTATCACCGCATGTCGTACAGTAAAGACAGCCGTGCTGTGGATGTTTGTTACACCATCAACTTACCTGAGGTATATTCAGATTATTGTGATTGTTGTCCATTTTCTTTCCAGTTTCCAGATTAATGTGTGTTTTGTTGATCAGAACCAGACATATGAACTGTACGCCTTGGTGGAGCACTTTGGGTCTCTGACAGGTGGGCATTACACAGCAACAATCAAACCTGAGGATGAAGACAGATGGTACGAGTTCAACGACTCCAGTGTGACACTGGTGAGATGATTTTCCTACAACCATGGATGGTTTTGACATTAACAATCATCACATTATTGTTATAGCGCAGTGCAAGTTTGATATTGTTCCTTTTCATAACAGGTTGGTAACCAGACGTTTCAGAAAAAGTTTGAGAGGTAAGTAATTGTCCTTCGTTTTGTTCTTATGTTTGTATTTACTGTCTATCATAACAGAAATTTATGTTCTTTATTAACCAGATCCCAAAGCTCCCATCTTTTGTTTTACAGGAAGAGAAGTGAGATGAAAACACACTTTACAATAATTTATATTTTGTTCAATTCGTCTTAAATTTCTAATATAAATTTCAGATACTAAAGAGGAAGACAAAGGAACAAAGGTAGAAGAAGACCAGAGAATACTGATTGACGATGACAAGAGTGAAAACGACAATACGGGGAAAATTACTTCAGACTGTGATAAAAATCACAATTGTTTTTATTCTTCTTCGTTAGCTATGTTACTTTTTGTATTTGCAGTTCTCTCCATGAAGGCCCTTGTCTTTGGTTTATTCTTTCTTTCAGTGTTTGCCTTCTTATTTTGGAAGAAGGCTAACTTTGGAAATGTATTAAGAAAGACAAAAGGTTGTCCTTTTATTCTGATCAACAAGATTTCCCTCTTATTATTCAGAATTAGGGGCGCTGCCAGGAATCTTGGGCACCCTGAGAAAAAATCAAGTTGGGCCCCCACCCCTGCGCAGCTGGTGTAACAATTTCTTGAGTCTATCTGATCCGTAAAAAGTGTCACAATTTTAAAGGCTTGCAACTGCTTTGCTTTCTTTGGTTCAGTACTGATAACTTGCACAGTGTTTACTGCTCATGAATTTCACATGAAACATTCCGCATACAGTATGCAAGTACGTTGCTTAATTTTTTCTATTAGTTTTAGATTTCTGAAATGTCTCTCCCCACGAGCAACGTGCAAAATATACATGAAGCAATCCAGACTTCTCAAAAAATTCTATGTAGTTGCATTTTATTTAAGCTGCAGTACATAACTTTAATAAAAAATATGTTTTCTCCATATTAGTTAATGTTGTCACCATGTTGTGTCAGTTTATGAGACAGATAATCTGTGAAAACAATCAATCTCCTCCATCTTCTTCCTAAACTACTGTTACTGGCTAAAGTAAATATTTGGAGTGTACTATTTTAGTGACTGAATTAGATTTAACATAAACTTAGAGTGTATTTAAGTATATTGTAAATACATATTTAATATATTAGTAGTGTGATTATTACAGTATGCTGCAATTACACTTTTGGTTTGTTATAATTGCTAATGAAGTAACTTTTTAGTTACTTAATGTCTTTTATTATTCTGCTTTGCCACTTTCTACATTAATGCTTCATACACACATCAGGTACCAGAACACAGACGGATCAATTACAACACATTTTACAGGTGAAACTAATTACATTGTGCTTTCAGTATATTACCATTTTGGTAACGCTTTATTTGATAGGGTGTGCATAATAAGACTGACATGATACTGTCATAAACACACCTGTCATCCAACATTTAAAGCAAATCCTCATTAAAATTGTCATTATTTACTGAATGACACTTCATTACACTGTTGGTATGTTCCTAGCAGGTGTTATGTCATGTTTATGACAGTATCATGTCAGTCTTATGCACACCCCATCAAATAAAGTCTTATCCACATTTTTTCAAGACCCAATATACTATAACAAAATTGTACAAATTGTCAATACATTAAAAGTTTACTGACAACATGCTTATGAAAATCAGCACAATAAAATAATAGGTACACTTTAGAGGACATGTGAAAAATGTTTCCACCAAGGACAGAGTATTGTTTTAATTCAGTGTCACAGTATTCCAGTATTACTGCAGACAAACTGACATTTCTCCTTCCTAAGAACAGTGAGGATCAACGACAGAACATTCCCATTCACTGGACCACTACACTTTACAGAAACCTACAAAAAAGAACAATAGAGCAATTAAACAGAGAAAGCATTTGTATTTTAAAGAGTACAGAAAAATGGCAAATTAAAAAATAATACTTACAATTTAAAGATGTTGTGGATTCGCTGTGTATGTGACATCATCAGAACTATCAAGGCTTTCTCTACTTTTAAGGTGATATTATACGAGTAAAAATGACGAATTTGAACAGCGTTCAAGAATTCAAGGCTTTTCTTCTTTTTATGGCATTTTTCAAAAAAGACGAAAGTCCACCATCTGGTCTGGAGTGTGAACTGGAGCTAATGCCGTTGGCTTATAGATCTTACATCATATATCTGAAAATGGATTGAGTACTTTGATAAACAACATTACATCATGATTATCATGTTTTTTATTCTTTGCAATTTTAACAAAAATAGTAAAAGATTATTAAGGTAAACATTTTAGGTGCTTAAAAAGTATGCCTAAAATTTACATGAAAAGTACTTTAAAGGTGCCTAAAAGACATACTTCTGCATGTATTAATTAGTTTTATTTTGTAATTAGGTTGCTGCGTGTTGCAGACTTCTGTGCAGGTCCCTCTTGAATATGAGATCTGGATCTGAACGGGGTTCACCTGGTTAAATAAAGAAAGTTTAAAAAAGGCATACTTTACTAGCCTAAAATGTACACTGAGATGTAATTTAAAACATAGTGAAATTAATAATTTAAAGTAGTGCTAAGTCCATTTTTAAAAATTCTATTTTGAGCATATATTTTACACAAATTATCTTTGACAGATATTTTAAATATCTTTTAAATGTACTTGAGCAAGTGTATATTTACACTTGGGCAAATACATATTTTGTTCACTTAAAGTATACTTTTATTTAATAAACTTATTAAAAGTGTATTTTGGAACAATTATAATTAAGTATGTTTAAAGTTCTAATTTAGAAATTGGTACAAGTATACTTTTAGTATACTTCATATATATTTATAGTACACTTAATACTTACTATACTTAAAGTGTACTTTCACAAATGTAAGTATATTTGAAATAGCATACTAAAGTATACTTTTTTTTCACTTGGGCACCGACAGCGGCAGAAACCCTCAGTTTTACTGACCACTAGGGAGCGCTGTTGTTCATGTGGGTGAAAATCTTCTTGGCCGCAGTGACTAATTTTCCTGTTTACTCAAGTAATAAAGAATGTCAGTGAATCCAAGAGGAGGTGAATTAATGAACCATGACTCAATACTCCGAATATTATTTCTTCTGTTGTTCACAATCTACTCTGACATAATAAACTTAATTGTTAGAATTGTTTCTGATGCATTTCACTCACTAGAAATGATGCTACAGTTTGACTCAGACATGTAGAGCCGCTGCAGGAACCAGACTCTGGTCAGAAACTTCTCAGTTTATAGAAGAACATGTTGAATTTCTGCTATCAGAAAACACAAACGCATCAAAAACAGAACCAACAAACTGCTACTCATCTTTTCACCTCTAAATGTTAAAATGTGTATTTAATGTTTTTATCTGTGTAATAATTTTCACTACAAAAAGTAAATAAAAACTTAAAAAATAAAAGAGAAAGAGACTCAAAACTTGCCTGGATAAACCACTTTAATGTCAACACAAAGTGGCAGAATAATCAGACCTATTCCAACACAATAACTGGAGCTGAGAGAAGATCCTGTAATATCAACACTTTCTGCTCTTAATCTAGAAATTGGTCAGAATTTGACACATCTGTAGTTTTCACTTGAGGTTCCTCTTGAGGTTTGCAGCAAATTGTCTTACATTATGTGATGTATTTCATTGTTTTCATTGTTTAAATTGTATAGAGGGCAAAGAGCAGTTTTAAAATCCCACATTTTACCTATTAATTTAAAACACAAGTTTATTGAAGCTGCTCCACAGTTGTTCTCTGCTTGACTCACTGAAAATAACAGGAAACAGACAATATCTCTGCTGATCATACAGAGAGTTGTGATAATATTCAATACATTCAGAATGTGGCAAAATATTTTATTGATTGTTACGTCCATCAGGCTCGTTTGGTGAGGTAACATTAAAGGACACAAGGATTTTCTGATTTAATGAAAATTCAATTTATTAAATGATACTAAAGAAATAAAACCTGAAAAAGGAAAACCTGAAATGAGAAACCAAAACATATTAATGCAAAACCCATAGCTAACCAGAAATAAGTAAACGCAAAACAAACCTAACAAACCCCAACCATAAGACACAAACCAAACCAAATGAGGTTCTGAGGAGGGAGAGGGAAAAGCCTCCTGTCTGCTGCATGCATGGCAGCTTTTAAAGCAGCAGAACACCAATCAGGGCAAAACATAACACGTGCAGCAGGCCCGTCTCCAGACCTCTACAAGGAGAAAGGGCAGAGACCCACTGCAGCTGTAACATTGTTTAAAACAGTTTAACTGAGAAGGAGGAGCGACGTGATTCCAGTTAATGTTTGAAACGAAGTATTTTTGTTTGAGTTTTAAACATCAGGCATAAGACATTCTTTACTTCTCCGAGTTTCTCCCTCCTTGTCTCCCAGCCCGTCGTCAGTAAAACCCGGTTCAGGTCCTGCTCCACCGTCTAAACATAAAACCATCTGAATGTAGGACTTGTGTGTGATTCCATAGTCAATCAGCCTCTTTGTGTCGTCATTCAGTCTGTTGCTAGCAAAGATCAGTCGCAGGTCCTTTTTTGCACGTTCTGCAAATATGCAGATACAGAATCATAATTCAATAAATAAAAACAGACCAAAAACATATTTTTAAACTGCAGAACTATTTTAGTCTAAACAGGATGATATAAATATATTATTCTGACTTAAACTTGTTCTCACCATAAACCAAAACAAACTCCACTGGAGAGATTTCAAAAGGATCTCGTTTTGCATTTTATTTTATTAAAACGGTTATTCCTGATTTTTTAACAATTATGTTTTACATAAAACAGAGAAAGGTGAAGTAAATGATTGTTGCACTCAGTGAATTTACCTGAGAACCAAGACAACTTCTCAAATATCTTTTCTTTCAGCTGATCCACGGTTATTTCCTTCATCTCCTGCTCTGTGTCGCAGAGGTCAATCGTGGTTTTCTCTCCATCTATCCCACTGACCACAACCTGGTAGATCATTTTCAGATATTTAAAGATCTCCAGCGGCTGGTGAAGTCAGACCAAAAGAAAGAAAAACTCCTTGGCATTGGTGTTTCGTTTTGTTTGCACGTTTCAGCAACCTGAATGAGAAAACATAATTGCAAAAAAAAAAAGTTTATAATATTTTCTTCATATGATAGCAAAAATAAAGGGTGAAGGATGCATACTTTACTAATACATGCTTTAAAGGATGTTAAACTTTTCTGTAAGAGATGCTAAATATCGCTGACCAGCACATGTGGTTTGTCTTGACTAACTGTTTTTTATATATAATCATGATTACATTAAAGATTCTTAAACAAAAGACAAATGGCACAAAAAACTGAAGCAGGAAAGGAGAGGAGAGGAAATCTATTAACCTACCCTCAGCTGTTACATTAAGTACAGTTTAAGGGTGTTTCCAGGACATATTTAATTGACGCTCTCTAGGCTTATGTTGCTATTCGAGTGAAGTAAAATGTCTGAATACTTTCTCTTTCTGTTTTGGTTACGCCCAGCCAGCTGCTGCATTCAAGACGTGTTGAAAATATCACTTTCAAAAGGTTAAATGTGGATTGGTTGGGAGGTTTAATTCCTTTCAAATCTTTCTATCAAACTTTTAAAAGAAGATAATTAAAATGCTGTATAAGAAGTTATTCTTCGACTGTACTCAGTAAAGAAAGATAGATAAACTTATTCTGGCAAAAGGAATCAATGCAACCATTTTTTCTTAATAGTTTGTTGGCACAAAGTACATTTTGTTATTGGTTAATAGTATAAAATAACTGTGAGGTTTTCTCACCTCTTGGCAAAAAAAAACAACACACAAATTAAGGTCATTAGGATGATATTT